GACAGTCTATAACGCGCAGGTGGAAATATCAATAGTAAGTCTCTTGTCCAGTCAGATTCGAGGATCAGAATGAACTGTTATACATATAGGCTAACAATAGCGTAACGATCTTATTGTCAGGTTTATGTTCTGTTATGTGGATTGTTATCCGTTGTAAATCGGGCTAAAGTAAGGCGGTAGTTTTGAACACTGGCTGGTTATGTACTTGCTCAAATATTGATTTCGGATAATGTTTAACCAAAAAAAGTTACGGACTGCAGCTTTAATGTGCATCTTGTTAGTAAAGCCGAATAATCGTTGACATTTTCATAAGTAACTGTAATTTAATTACACATGTTTTCTTAGTAACTGTAACTGATTACAGTTACATTTATTTTGTAATTAAATTACGTAACGCCGTTACATGTAACTAGTTACTCCCCAACACTGCTAACAAGATGCGCATTAAATATCGCATGCGATTTATCGTGCAGCCCTATCTCATTGTTAGTATTTCTCATTACCTAACTTTAACAAATTTGGCCTTATTGTAAAGTGTTACCAATTTTGGGTATGTAATTTAGGGCTGTCAAACGATTAATCGCGATTAATCACATCCAAAATAAAAGTTTTTGTTCCCATAGTATATGTGTGTGTCCTGTGTATATTTATTATGTATATATAAATATACACACATGCATGTATATATTTAAGAAAAATATGTTACGTTTATATTAAATATATTTATATATAATATAAATTATATGGATATAAATATACATGTAAATATTTTCTAAATATATACTGTATGTGTCTGTATTTATATATACATAACAGTACACACAGATATATTATGTAAATAAAAACTTTTATATTGGATGTGATTAATGGTGATTAATTGTTTGACAGCACTAGTATGTATGTAAGTTTTCATTCATTCATGCATACATTCATTCCTTGATATCTTTATTTGTTTGTTTGTTTATTTATTGAGTGTAACCTTGTGTCAGTATATAGAAACGACAGTATATATATATATATATATATATATAACAATAGAAACTTGAAATTAGTCTGAAAATACTTTTGATTTAAAAAATAAGATTCAATATTTTACAAATTCTTGGAAATTTTCTATGTTGTTTTAAATTGTAAATTTAAGAAGGTTTAAGTATAATCACCAAAAATACTAGAACCTAGAACATTATTTTAATTAATAGTTTAAAATGAGCTTTTTCAGTTTTGCCCAAAAATTAAAGAGATCATTTACTCGAAAAATTACAATTCCTGTCATAATTTACTCCACAATTGTTTGACATGGAACATAAAAGAAGAAATTTAGATTGTTAATTTCTCCATGTCATTGGTCACCTAAACTCTGGTTGCCAACATTCTTCAAAATATCTTCTTTTTTGTTCCACAGAAGAAAGAAAGTCAAACAGGTTTGGAATGACATGAAAGTGAGTAAATAATGACAGAATATTAGTTTTGGAGGAACTATCCCTTTAAGAAAATAGTGCACAATCACTTTTGTTGATCTTCAAACAGACCTTTTGCCAGAGTGCATGCTGACTGTGAAAGAGAGGTGGACTGAACGTGCCGCTGTCTGTCCACATGCTGCCGTTTAACCCATGTGACACACGTTACCACTATGCTGTGCTCCAGTGATAAAGGCTGAGATAAGGGTTAGCGGACATTCTCTCTGGGGCTTGATAAAGTACTGACCATACCACAGAGCCGCAGCTAACAGAGCACCCTGATGACTCGCATTCCTGCCGAAACGGACCCCTTTAACATCTCCACCATCATCCAGCCCAGGAATGCCTCATATCAGCCAGAGCTGAAGTTGTGCCAAAACTCAGCTCTACAGAAGCCAAGCCATATGCTGTTGGTGGTTTGTTGGCCCATTTTTCTGAGCAGTCAAAAGACGATAGGAAGTGATTGGGGGTGGGGATCTGGAAATGGTACGAGCCAAATTTGAACTGATGATGCCCATATGAGCACCACAGCTTAACATGTCAGAGCATGTAAACAAAGTACTGCACCCTGCAAAACATATGACCAAACTCTAACTAAACTAAACTCTTTAAAAAAAAAAAAAAAAAAAATATATATATATATATATATATACATTTTTTTTAAATTATTACTTTAAAACTTTAAAGATTTTTTGAATGTTTGATATGTTATATTGTCAAAATAACTGTTTTCTATATATATAATTTATTCCTGTGATGCAAAGCTGAATTTTCAGCATCATTACGCCAGTATTCAGTGTCACATGATCCTTCAGAAATCATTCTGATATGCTGATTTGATGCTCAAATAAACATTTCTTCTCTATTATAAAAAAATACTTTTGAACAGAGTGTAAATAAAAATAGAATGTATGAAAATCTTTCAACAACGTTTTTAAATTAATGACAATATATTAATGATTACACCACTTAACATTTTAAGTAAAATAATTTTTATGGGTGTACACATCTTAAGAATTTGTAATAATTTTTTTAATTTAAATTTTTACAATACATTTTTAACACTTTTACTGTAACAAGTATTTTATTATATTTAATAAACAGTTTTAAGACAGTTTATTTATTAATTTATTAATTTATTTTTAGCCATTATAATAAAAGTACTACTACTGTTTTTTTTGTGTTTTTTTTATAATTTGCAATATTTAAAAAATTATTGGAGATTAAATTCATGCCCATTTAAGAAGATCTAAGTATAATCACCAAAATTCTAGAAAATTATGATGTTATTAATAGTATAAAATGAGCTTTTTTCAGTTTTGCCCAAAAATTAAAGGGAGAGTTTTTTTTGATTTGATGCTCAAATAAACATTTCTTCTCTATTATAAAAAAATACTTTTGAACAGAGTGTAAATAAAAATAGAATGTATGAAAATCTTTCAACAACGTTTTTAAATTAATGACAATATATTAATGATTACACCACTTAACATTTTAAGTAAAATAATTTTTATGGGTGTACACATCTTAAGAATTTGTAATAATTTTTTTAATTTAAATTTTTACAATAAATTTTTAACACTTTTACTGTAACAAGTATTTTATTATATTTAATAAACAGTTTTAAGACAGTTTATTTATTAATTTATTAATTTATTTTTAGCCATTATATAAGTTCACTTAAATTAGAAGTTATTTTTTAAAGTCTAATAAATGTTAAACTTGATAGCTCTCAATTATACTGTAATGTTGAATGGCAATAGTCAATGGTTAAATATTAGGAAAAAAATAACAATTTCCTAGAGACATCAGTAGTATTGGTATCAGTCATAAAAAATCTTTATGTTGTTTCTACATCAATTTGAAGATTGAATGTGAAACTATTGCAATATAAGAGAGTATATTTAAAAACTTTAATGATTGATCGTGATTAATAAAAAAAAAAAGTGCAAAAAAATAAAGATTTTTTTTTTTTTTTACATTTTACTCTAATAAAACTTTTTCTTTGCTACTAACTTGTTTTTAATTTAATAAAAAGGTAAAAAGTAATAGATCTCAACACAAAAACAGCAGTGTTAATCACTGACCCTGACAGAGCTGTTTATTTTAAGTTGTGTCACGTGTCTGTTATGAAAGAAGCTTGTGTATCTTATTTCACCTGACCATGAACATTCGGCATGATGAGTTAAAGGGATAGTTCACCCAAAAATGAAAATTTGATGTTAAGACTGACAGACTGCAACGGTTTGAGTTAAAAATCTTCGTTTGTGTTCTACTGAAGAAACAAAGTCACCTACATCTTGGATGCCCTGGGGGTAAGCAGATAAACATCAAATTTAAATTTTTGGGTGAACTATCCCTTTAAAGTATTAGGCCAGGGTCTCGATGAGACACAGACTTGTGGTCATAAACCCTCATAAACAGCACTGTATGATGATGACGGCCTGTGTGGTCGCTCTGCGCAGACATACTGTACCATACAGCACCTGCTATTCTGAACATGAGCATGTGTGACCTTTGACAGGTGCCACAGAAAAGCGGCAGCATTTAGGGCCCTATGAAATCAGTTTTATTTTTTCCCAAATTCCATTTTATTTTTTTTCCTAATTCTGTGTTATTTTTTCTGGATTCCGTTTTTTTTTTTTCATTTTAATTTTTTCATAATACAAATTTAATAAGTTTAATAATTAATTAAACTTACATAATTTCACATCAATTTATTAAAAGTTTAACAAAAATTACATGTTTAGGGCCCTATTTAATTTTTTTCTCACCATATGTTTTATTGTTACCAAATTTCTGGGTTTTAGCATGTCTAATTGTTTGAATGCATAAAAACAACTTAATTTATTCAAATTTATTCTTGCAATAGCCTTATGAATTTTTTTTTTCCTCTGTGTTGTGTATTTAAATTTTTCTGGTTATTAAATGAAGGCATAAAACAATTTCAATTTATCTTTCTGTTATTGAAAATTAAACAAACTTTATTTTTAATTTATTTTTTTTGCAAACATTAAAATTGAAATATGGAAGAAATGTTGTGATTATTCCTTAAAAAAGTAAAATAAAGTTTTAATAATTTTAGTAGTAGTAGTAGTAGTATGTACATTCTATTGAACAATAGTAATGTATTTCTGGCTCAATAGAGTGTCAATGGTCCATTTGAGAGATAGGTGGCGGTAATGCACTTATAAGTCTGTGATCCGCCGTAAGGCAAGAAGAAGAAGAAGACGTGTCACGCTCCGGCTCTCAAAGACGCGCTCAGGACAGTTAAACCAAACTTTTATTTTTAAATTTCTGTGTCAAATGAAATGAAGTGACTCTCAGTGCAGATTAGGAGATGTTGTTCATGTATTTATGTCCTCATTTAGTGAGACGACAGACGCTGAAGTCACCGCGAGCGTCACACGCACTTCAGTGTGTGTGTAGTAAACAAAATCACGCGTCTGTGCCATTCATTTACACAGAGACACGCAGAACATGCAGGATTTATATTTAAATAGTCTATACAGTAAATTCCGTTTTTATGACTGGATTCCGTGATTCCGTTCGCGTTTTCCGCATCGTGGAAATCATAGGGCCCTAATCATTCAGACACCAAAGTAAGCGGTAAATCTCTTAAAGGGCCAGAAGACTAAAATAATGAAGCACCTAGTGTTGTCAAACAGTCCTGAACTTCGGTACCAGGTCGATACTTAAATTTACTATACTTAAAACCTTTTTGCTTAGTTTAAAACCCTTGTTTTGGTACAGTTATTACTTTAAATGTGAGTAGGTGTTCCTGTAGCGTTTAGCAATGTCACAAAATGTCTTTATGTAATTGTTAATCATCCTAAAACCTTACGTTTCTTTAACCCCCTCTCTTCTGTACGATTAGGCCATGGTTGCGTGTTACCCTGGAAACGGAACAGGATACGTGCGACATGTGGACAATCCTAACGGCGACGGACGCTGCATAACCTGCATCTACTATCTGAACAAGAACTGGGATGCGAAGGTATGCTGTGGCCCTGCGTTTACTCTTACTGTTACCTGATTAGTCAGGAGGGGAGTCTTCTCTAATCCATTTCTGCTATTTGGTTTTGATCTGTTTATCCAGGTTCATGGAGGTTTATTGCAGATCTTCCCCGAGGGTCGTAATGTTGTAGCCAACATCGAGCCTCTGTTTGACCGTCTGCTCATTTTCTGGTCAGATCGCCGGAACCCACATGAGGTGAAACCAGCTTTTGCCACTCGGTGAGGACACACACCGTTCACAGTTACACAGTCACTCACAAAGAGCCAAATGCAATTCTAAAATGCATTTCATACATACAACGCATTGTTAATCAAGTATTATTTATGCACTGTATTTATTAATAAATTTTATATTTAAATATATTAAATATATGTATTAATATTATGAACGAATAAAAGAATGAACTTTTATTTTATATATTTCCAGTTTTCATTTAAATTTTGTAATGTGCTTGTATTTTGGGGGGTATTTTTAATAGGTTTATTTAATTATTTTGTCTTCAGTTTTAATATTTTTAGTACTTAAACTTTTTTAGTTAGTTGCCATTTTTTATAATTTAAGTTTTTATTTATTTATTTATTTATTTATTTTACAATTTCAAAAAGATTAAGAATGGGTTTAGTTTTAGTTTAGTTAGTTTTAGTTAACAATAACAGCACTGGTACAATGTCTTGAACAGACCTCTTCTGTGATTAATTTTAATTCATAAATTAAAAATATGATAATATTTTTAGGGAATTAAGTAAAAAATGTCAGGGTGGTGCAACTGTCTTTCTGTCTATCTATATCCATCTACATTTTAATATTTCTATTTAGTTTAATTTATTTTTATTTCAGTTTTATTTTTTGTAATTTTAGTACTTTAGTACTAGTTTTGTTTTTCAGTTAGTTGCCAATTTTCATTTACGTTTTTCATCTAATATTTATATATAAAAAACAATAATAACGGTTTTTGTTTTAGTTAATGATAACAACACTGGTACAATGACTTGAACACACCTCTTCTGGGATTACCATATTTTTATTTCTTTTATGAATTAAAATTCATATTTTGAGGGATTAAGTAAAACATTTCAGGGTGGTACAACTGTCTTTCTGCCTATCTATATCCATCTATATGTTATTATTTCTATTTAGTTTAATTTATTTTTATTTCAGTTTTAGTAAGTACTTTAGTACTTTTTTCAGTTAGTTGCCAGTCATTTAAGTTTTAAGTTTTTCTTCTAATAGTTACACTTAAAATTATTAATAATGGTTTTAGTCATCTCTTCTGTGATTATCATATTTTAAATTTATGATTTATTTGAATTATTTTTTATTTATTTTGGAGAATTGAGTAATAATATCAGGGTGGTACAACTATCCTTATATCATAATGAAAAAAGCTTTATTAAAATAATGTAATTCCTAATAATAAAAACTCCGCATAATCCTTTATTATTATTATTTTTTTTTTAAGCATTATCAATTCAAGTTTATTTGTATAGCACTTTTTACGATACCAATCATTGCAAAGCAGCTTTACAAAAAATATTAAGTTTCTACATTATATTTAGGAATAGGTTATTAGTGGTGACTATGTCAGAAATGTACAGTAAGAATCATGCAGTTAGTTACAAATTACACGTAATCAAACAGACGGTGAACACTATTAACTGCAATGATTATATGTTGCGATTACACTTTGCGATTGCGATTAAACATTGCGATTAAGCAAAATGTGTTAGTTTTATATGTTGTTCCAGGGTTAGCATCATCTGAGGTCTTCTGGGGGGTTGGCATCATCTCTTCTCAGGTGTCCAGTCATCTCAGATCTTCGTAAGGGTTGAATCCAGACTGAAGCTTGTGTAATTCCTAGTTGCCTCGGGATACAAGTCCCGTGGCACAAACATAGAAGCAGATAGAGATTAAATTAGCGTAGCTGCTGTTCCAACGAAGCAAAGATGATGTGTTCAACCCAAGCAAAAGAATGAAAATGTGCATTGTATCAGATATAGCTGAAGTACAAAGTTACGAGAGACATTATGTGAATGCTTGGCTAAAAAGATGTCTTTAATCTAGATTTTTAAACCGAGAGAGTGTGTCTGAACCCTGAACGTTATCAGATCTATTATTACATCCAACAACAATCGCTTAGGTGACATTCTTGTCTATTCCTGCTCCGGCGTCGAAACAATGGCG